GTGGCCATCCTGGGTGAGTTGCTGGCCACCCTGCCCAGTCTGGACGCAATGATGATGCTGCTCCTGTCTCCAAGCTGCCTGTACTGGGACCTGATTGACTTCACCAGGGAGCTCCAGACCACCCTGTATCACTTTGATGCCGCCTGGTGGTGCCGCAGTGTCACGTTCAATGGCGATGACCCTCCCACCTCCCTGAGCCGGACCGTGGCTGCCTACAAGAGCACCAGATGGACCACCAGTTTCCATGTAAGACGGGCGACCAGCAAGTGGCAGCGGTCGGTGTCTGTGCTTGTGAACAGCTGGGCCCAGCTGGCCAGGGTGGCCACCGAGCTCCGCAACACCTGCAGTGATTTGGCCACCAAGGCGGCCGACAGGGCTGCCACTGCCACCGCCCGGGCCAGGGCCCTGCAGGACGAGGCTGCCCATGATGGGACAGGTCAAGAAAACATGGTGGAGCTGGTTAAGGCCTTGGGTGGGGAGGAGGGGGCCGAGGTGGTGTCCGGGCATGAAGCCCAGGTGAGGAGAGAGGCCAGGGTGGCTGCCAGCGAGGCAACAAGGGCCACCATGGTGAGACAGCGGCTGGAGGCGTCCCTGGGGCTGCTGGAGCGCTTGGTGACTGCATGTGACGAAGCCTCTGCGTTCCCCCGGGAGCTGCAGCGCCTGCTCAGGGACACCAAGGCCACCCTGGAGGGAACAAAGACACAGTCCATCAATGTTGCTGAGAATTTGGTGGCCAAGGTGGCCGTGGCTGAGCGGCTGTGGGAGGCCAACGCCCACCTGGCCAAGGATCACCTGGTGGCGACACTTGATGATATCACCAAGTTCTTGTTCTCTGGTCGTCTCGCCAGCCCCAGTGCCTGTGAAGTGGCCGAGTGGTGCCAAAGAGTCATCGAGGACATTCCAAGGCTCCTTGAACCCCTGGAGCGTCCCCAGAGCATCTCCACGGTTTCCCCAGAGACCATGGAGATTGAAGAGGTGTGACCGGGGGAGGGGGGAGGGAAGAAATGGAGAGAGAGGGAACACTGGAGTGGAAGGGGGAATGGGGAATGGAGGGGTCATGGGGGGGTGGCAAGAGGGGATGGGGTAACAAAGGAGACAGGAGGGAGTGGCAGGAAGGGGGGAGGT